GGAAATGAGTATTGGACTCGAATAACTGTTTAAACCAGAAAACCTTAGTGCGCAATGTTATTTTGGTATCACACTTTTCGATGCTGATAGCAACTGTTCTGGATCTTCTCTGCGAGGAAAAATAACCACTGTAATACTAGACTGAGACTTGACTGAAAAACCTAGTGTTTTACCAAGGAGACTTAAAAAGAAAACAAAACCAAAACACACTGACACTCAGTAGTAATTGTTAAGGTAACCTGAAGAAAGTAGGATTTTGAAGAAACAACATGCATTCTCTCCGTCGTTGTTACAGTTCTGAACACACTTTATACAGGATATCTAGGTTTGGTTAGTATTTTCATATATCAGACCTTTTTCACCAGGTTAAAGAGCTTTACAGATAGCTACAATTTGAAATTTTATCTAACATTAAGTGTGCCCAGTTAACCTAAGAAATGAAAAGAGTATAAACAGCATATTTAAACTTTTGTCGAACACCATGCGTAAGATTAAGACCAGTGGAATTTTAAATCTAATTTGCTGTTTACCAGTAAAGGTTAACAGTTAGTTTTGTAAATAGTTCGACTGAAAACGATGACCTGTTAATCAAATATACATAGGGTAATGAAGTGGTACTTGAAGCTTGCATATGGAGAAAAATTGATGAAAGTTAAGTAACTGCTCTAGCTACATACTAACATTATATAAAGTTGAAACTTCGAGCGTTGCCCCTTCCTTTATGGTAGCAAGATCCAGTTATTATGGCTGTTTTGCCTTGACGATGGAAGGTCGAACACCCAAGACGCCAACTTTCCGAATTCGCTCAGGCGGCTCATTTAGCTTCATTTATTTTTTCTTCAAATTCAGGTTGATGTAGTTAGCTAAGGGGCCCACAAGTTAATTAGTTGTATTATATTAAGTGTAAACCCTCTCTAAATAAAGTTTGATTGATTGATTGATTGTATTGCTTAGACTGAGCGTCAACAGTTTTCCACGTTGGACTTTTTTTACCCTTAGTTGATTTTTTTGCTTCACTGGCATTTGACTACAACCTCCATATTCATTTATTCTCCCCCTGGATACGGTGAAGAAAAGCTGCTATATATTTCATTTCGCGCGCTTGCATTGAAGCGCGGAAATGGTGAAAAAAAATTAAATTTTCCCTCTGCGCTGTGACCACAGGCGGCCCAGACGTTGAATACGATTAATACGTGACATTATGCTGTTGGCGATTGCGTTACAATTTTAGCCGTTTATAAGACAATGTATGAGAATGCTTCGAAAATTACTCGAAATGCTACGTGTAGAAAATAATTTGAATAAAATGGCTTACCTTATGTTTGCATTGTGTTGTTTTGATGTCTCTGGTTGAAAAGTGAAGCTCGCTTAAATGGTTCTAGACCACCTCCAGGAACCCAGAGACATCAAAATAACGCAATGCAAACATAAGGCAAGCCATTTTATTCAAATTATTT